ATTGCTTCCTGTTTTATTCAGCGTCAGTGAGAAGATACTAGTGAGCTGTGATAGATCACCAGGCAGAAGAAGAGAACTCTTTTGATGATGGTTAGTTTCAGGGGTGGGCTGCTGGGGGTTTGCAGGGGTTCGGGAGAACCTCTAGCTAAGTTTCTGTGCAGTTTGGAGAACCCCCAAATCCCACTCCTGGCTGGCCCCTCCCACCCCACCCCTCCCAGGAGTCCCCACATGTCCCGTTTTGGATACAGATAAGTGCAGGGTGCGCACGGAGGCTTGGGGAGGGTGAAAAATGGGCCTACCGGAAGTTTGGGAAGGCCGGAAATGGGCCCATTTTCAGCCTCCAGAGCCTGGGGAAGCTGTTTTCTCCCTCCCGGAGGCTCGAGGAAAGCCTCCGGAGCCCGGGGAGGGCAAAAATGCCCCCCCTGCTATGGGATAGGAGGCCATGCCCACCCAGCAACCAGGCAGAGAACCCCTTGCTAAAATTTTTGAAGCCCACCCCTGGTTAGTTTCCTACAGGTAACCATAAGAAACCATCAATCTTTGGGAGGCACATTTAGAAGGAAAGAAGGAGCAGGATTTGAGCCTTCCTTAAGCACGCATGATGCGCTGTCCTGGAAAGAAACATTCACGCTTTCCTGCTAATCAAGAAACAGACCCCATTGTCACCTTCGCAATGTTTGGCTGGTGCAATTTGGTTGGTTGTAAGGATGCTGTTTTGAATGCTGCTCTGAACAACAGGTGCAAACTTGCACGTTGGGTATCAGGCGGCTGGTGAGTGTTGTGGCCCACCAGCAGCCAGTGGAGCTGGCAGCAGAGCCGGATAGTGAGGAGGTTGGGGAGAAACCTGGGCCAGTCCTGGGGGCTGGGGAAAGCTCGGACGAGGGCTCTGCATCGGTGGCAGAGAGGGAGCTAGAGAGCAGCGAGGCAGAGGAACTGCTGGAGCCCGTTCCCAGTGTGCGCATGCGCAGAGCTGCCAGAAGACAAGAACAACTCAGAAAGCAGGGTCGACTCTTAATATGATAAAACTATAAACAGAAGTGAAATGAAAGAACGGTGCAAGCAAAAGGAATACATCAATTAAAAAAAACGACAGCAACTAAAACGGAAACAAGCCTGCATCAGAGCAAATTGTCTATATACAGCAATGGTCCTTGTTTATATGACAGTGATGATGACAGAGGAAGCCCTCTGATACCTATAGTATATGAGCCATTAGTATTTTGGCAGGGTCTTTGGGGAGGAGATACTTCTTAATGTACCAGATCCATCTTCTCTTGGTGACATCTACCTGACCTACCAGAACAGGGAGACAAGGAATGCTTCAGGGATGTCCCCTCTCCTAAGGAGGTCCATCTGGTGGGACCAAGAAGAAGGACCTTCTCTGTGGTGGCTCCCCTCCTTGTGGATCATCCCCGCAGAAATAAGATTGGCCCCCACTTTGCAAGGCCCTGATAGAGCTGATTTGGCCAATGGGTTTGGTGAACCCAGAGTCTGATGGAGCCTATCTATTTGTTTTGTTTGACTGATCGTTGTGGCCACCAGGGGTGGTGGAATGGTTACCATTTTTTTAAAATTGTTTTTTCAATATGAGATTTTTTTTTATCTTTGTAAGTCACCCAGAGTCATTGAGAGTGAGTTGGGCGGCCATATAGAACACAGAATAATAGAGTTGGAAGAGACCTTGGAGTCTTCTAGCCCAATCCCCTGTTCGAGCAGGAGATCCTAAAGCAGTGATGGTGAACCTTTTCGGCACCGAGTGCCCAAACCGGAACACATGTGCATGTATGTGCATGTGCGCACGCCGGAGCACCGGAAACCTGAAGACCAGCTGGCTGGCGCGTGCATGCCTGTTTTTTGGCTGTTTGGGGCCGTTTTTCAGGCCATTTTCAGGCCGTTTTGGGGCTGGTTTTTGGGCAATTTTCAGGGCATTTTGGGGGCATTTTTGGCCTGAAAAATGGCCTGAAAACAGCCCAGAAAATGGCTCAGAAAACAGCCTGAAAACAGCCCAGAAAATAGCCTAAAAACAGCTCAAAAAACAACTCAGAACATGGCCTGAAAACAGCCCAGAAAACGGTCTGAAAATGGCCCAAAAAACGGTCCAAAAATGGTCCACAAAACAGCCCAGAAAATGGCCCAGAAAACAGCCTGAAAATGGCCCAAAAACAGCCTGAAATGGCCTGAAAATGGCCTGAAAAATGACCTGAGTTTTGGCCATTTTCAGGCTGTTTTGGGGCTGTTTTGGGGCAATTTTCAGGGCATTTTTGGAGCATTTTTGGGCCATTTTTGGCCTGAAAACTGGCCTGAAAACAGCCCAGAAAATGGCCTGAAAACAGCCCAGAAAATGGCCTGAAAACGGCCCCAAAACCAGCTCAAAAATGGCCTGAAAACAGCCCAGAAAACGGCCTGAAAATGGCCCAAAAAAGTTCCAGAAAACAGCCCAGAAAATGGCCCAGAAAACAGCCTGAAAATGGCCCAAAAAACAGCCTGAAATGGCCTGAAAATGGCCTGAAAAATGACCTGAGTTTTGGCCATTTTCAGGCTGTTTTGGGGCAATTTTCAGGCCATTTTTGGGGCATTTTTGGGCCATTTTTGGCCTGAAAACTGGCCTGAAAACAGCCCAGAAAATGGCCTGAAAACAGCCCAGAAAATGGCCTGAAAACGGCCCCAAAACCAGCTCAAAAATGGCCTGAAAACAGCCCAGAAAACGGCCTGAAAATGGCCCAAAAAAGTTCCAGAAAACAGCCCAGAAAATGGCCCAGAAAACAGCCTGAAAATGGCCCAAAAAACAGCCTGAAATGGCCTGAAAATGGCCTGAAAAATGACCTGAGTTTTGGCCATTTTCAGGCTGTTTTGGGGCAATTTTCAGGCCATTTTTGGGGCATTTTTGGGCAATTTTGGCCTGAAAACTGGCCTGAAAACAGCCCAGAAAATGGCCTGAAAACAGCCCAGAAAATGGCCTGAAAACGGCCCAAAAACCAGCTCAAAAATGGCCTGAAAACAGCCCAGAAAACGGCCTGAAAATGGCCCAAAAAAGTTCCAGAACAGCCCAGAAAATGGCCCAGAAAACAGCCTGAAAATGGCCCAAAAACGGCCTGAAAATGGCCTGAAAAATGACCTGAGTTTTGGCCATTTTCAGGCTGTTTTCTGGTGCTCTGGTGCCCGTGAAGACCAGCTGGCTGGCGTGCTGAAAACCAGAAGAGCAGCTGGCAACTGTGCACGTGCCCACAGAAAGGGCTCTGTGTGCCATAGGTTCGCCATCACGGTCCTATACCATCTTAGACAAATGGCTGTTCAGCCTCTTTTTGAAAGCCTCCAGTGATGGAGCACCCACAACTTCTGAAGGCAAGGCGTTCCACTGGTTGATTGCTCTCACCGTTAGGAAATTTCTCCTTAGTTCTAGGTTGCTTCTCTCCTTGGTTGCAAAATATAAATTTTCTTAACTAAAATTACGTCAGTCTACATTTATATTGATTTAATCTTCATCTGCTACTTTGTTGGTGAAGCAATAACAGACTAAAGCCATAATCTCAGATACACATCAGAAGATGGACCATTTGTGGAAGAACGAAGGTCTACCGAGAATCTCTCCCCCACTTTCTCTTTCAGAATTCTCTCTGCCACCCAATTCCTTGCATCTTAAAAAAAGAAAAAAAAAACCACCTGTATTGTCTTCCTTATTGCTCATTTCTCCATCTTTCATTTATGAGTCCTACAACTCAGCACAGATGAATGATCTTGACCCAGTGGTGGGATTCAACCAGTTCGCACATATTCGGGATAACCAGTTGTTAACTTTCTAAGCAGTTCGGAGAACTGGTTGTTGGAAGAAATCTCATTTTGTTTTTTTTCCACTTTACAGGGCTAATCCTGTAAGGAAGGCAGGAAGGAAACATTCTGGTGGTGTTTCTAGCCTAATCTTTATTGCCCTATTTACAGAAACTGCCTATCCGGTTAACCCTAATTACATTGTAACAGCTAAGGCAAAGCACACAGTGACGTTGAGTTGGCCACACACCCCAGTCACATGACCACTGAGCCATGCCTATCCAGCTGGTCATTAGGGCAGAGAACTGGTTCTTAAATTATTTGAATCCCACCACTGTCTTGACCTACGGGCACAATACTCTGCCTGAAAGGTTCATCACCGAACCACCCAGAGATGTAAGTGAGACGGCAGAAGACTCCAACTTGAATCTACAAAATCTACAGAAGGCTCCAACTTGAATCATCAGTAGACGTGAAAAGTTCTTTAAAGGGCTGCAACTTTCGGAGGTGTCAACCCAGAGTTAAGGTATCCAATATCCATGTAATGCAACTTCCCACTTTTGGTAGGGTCCCACCCCCAAAGGGCTCAGATGCCACTAGGGCTCCCAGCTCTCTTGACTGAACTTTCTTGATTTGAGAGAGTTGGTGTTTGTCTGGTGTCAATCAAGAGAGAGTCTCGGAGAGGCGGGCATACACAGAGGTAGGTTGCTGGGGGTTCTCAGGGGTTCGGGAGAACCTCTAGCTAAGATTATGTGCAGTTCGGAGAACCCCCCAAATCCCATTCCTGGCTGGCCCTTCCCACCCCTTCCCGCCCCTCCCAGGAGTCCCCACGCGGCCCATTTTGGATGCAGGTAAGTGCAGGGCGCACGCAGAGGCTCGGGGAGGGCAAAAAACGGGCCTACTGGAAGTTCGGGAAGGCCAGAAAGGGGTCTGTTTCCAGCCTCCAGAGAGCCTCCGGAGCCTGGGGAGGCCGTTTTCACCCTCCTGGAGGCTCAAAGAAAGCCTCCGGAGCCTGGGGAGGGCACAAATGCCCCACCCCCACCATGGTTCAGGAGGCTGTCTAGGCCACACCCACCATGGCCACACCCACCCAACAACCAGGCAGAGAACCCCTTGCTAAAAATTTTGAAGCCCACCCCTGGGCGTGGGTGGCATGTAGATCCTATCTCCTCTCCCCTTCTGTGACACCCATGCATTCTCACATGTGGAAAAGGAGGAATAAGCACATGCAGTACCTGATGATTTCAGAGTCAGGGAGCAGGCCTATGTGGTAGTGGGGGTAGGGAGCTGAAAGGAGGAAGCTTTTGTCACACTCGACAGGGGAATAATGCCTAGGAGAAGGTGGCTTATCACAGAATTTGTTCACAGTGCTGTAAACGGGTTCAGGAGGCCTGGTGGTAACAGAGAGACGAAAAACAGAGATTAGAACTTCTTTCGACATGCATCGATCGCACAGCTAACTGTATTCGGAGGCATGCAAAAGAAGGTCGACAAGAGAAAGGGTTAGATACACAGAACTCCTGCAAAGTGACGGCAATGCTTAGTCACAACCATTGAGAGCGCAAAACGCACAGTACTGTATACACGAGACAGCCAGAGGAAAGGAAACCGGTGTGACACGACGGTGGTTAGAACATTCAGGTCTTAGCTTGTCAGCTGGGCTCAAAGCTTCCTTCTTACCTTCTGGAACCCAAGAGGAGAAGGTTTATTCCCCACCCCGAAATTTCTTTGCTTCACCAAGTGCATTTAAACTGAAAAGTTAGACACAGAGCTTTAGCAGCCAAGGAAGAAAATTAGGAACACACCATGAGGGTCAACAGTGCAGATTGGCGTTCGGTCATCTGAATTTCGGAAGGCTCTCGGGTGTACATTTTATGGGTGATGCACTCACAAGTTTGTGGCCCACTGACACATATAGGAATCCATTCTCTACCATGGCTCACGGTTTCAAGGAGAGTAAGGATACATGAGGTCAAACAGGTCCAGAGCTGGCCTGTTAAGAGGGTAGACCAGGTCACTCAGGACAGACCCATGTTACAGTTGTAGAACAATTCTTCTCTTAAAAAAGGAACAGGCTATGGTAGAACCAGAACATCATTTCTCAATGTTTAGAATGGATAAGGATTGAAATGCACAGCACCGAATGTCAACTCCTCTTCTGCAGGCAACAAAAGTGAAATATTATTATCCTTTTAAACTATAGGTTTTTTTGATCTTGGCTTTAGAAGGGGCCAGGTTCTAACATGGTATCTGAGAGCGTAGTAGCAGATGATGTCCATCTGCTTGGGACAGGATTCATGATTTCAACCAGAAACTTAAAAGGTGAAGACCAGAACATCTGTTACATTGGGCTACCAGATTTGGGTTGTAAACATCTGGATATCTAGCCTCTCCAATTTAATATACCCACATAAGTACATACTATCTACATAATTTGGGAATAAAGTATATATAAAGGTGATACTGAGATGTGTACTTGGTCAACGAAGTGAATTTTTGAAGTCTCGTCCGAGTGTGTTTGTATCTGGACAGGGTGGGATAGATTCAGACTCGGCCCTAGCAACATTGAGCAGCTGTGGGTATTATGACCACTCTGAATTGAACATTTTCCATTCTTTCATTGGGACTTGGTACACAAATTGAGGGTCTCCCTGAACTTGCAGCTCCTACTTGAAGAAAAAGTGGTAGCTGGTTTAGGAAAGCATTTGGATCGGGGTGGTATTCACTTACCTTCGCTACCAATTCGCAAATGTGAGTGCAGGCGCACGCTCCGCTCGCACGCACCACCTCCGGGCATGCGCAGGGCCTTCTGCGCATGCGCAGAGCATCAAAAACAGGACGTGATGACGTCCGGGCGGGTGGGCAGAGCCTCCCGCAGCCGGCGCTACTGGTTTGCCCGAACCGGATATAACCAGCTGAATACCACCACTGGTTTGGATGGATTCATCCTCTATCCGCGAACTGTTTCTGGACTGGGAGGACCTCCGAACAGCCATGGAGGTGCTTTAGATGTGGACCTCAGATGTGGATTACTGCAATGTGTTCCAGGTGGGGCTGCCCTTGAACACAGCTCAGAAGCTGTCGCTGCTCCAGAATGCAGAGGCATAGGTGGTTGAACCTTTGCTTTGTGAGATACACCGCTTACTATAGGCTTCCAGGTGCAATTCAAGGTTCCCTATGAAGTTCTCCATGGTATAGGACTTGGCTAACCACTATCCCTGAACTGTCTGCCCATAGCAATAGAACTCGGACGGGCTGCTCCCATGTGACACCTCTCCTGCGCGAGCTGCACTGGCTTCCTGTGGTCTTCTGGGTGCGCTTCAAGGTGTTGGTGACCACCTTTAAAGCGCTCCATGGCTTAGGGCCAGGGTATCTACGAGACCGCCTTCTGCCGCCAATAGCCTCCCACCGGTCAGTTCGCTCGCACAGAGAGGGCCTCCTCAGGGTGCCGTCCGCCAGACAATGTCAGCTGGCGACCACCAGGGGGAGAGCCTTCTCTGTAGCGGCACCTGCCCTCTGGAACGACCTACCCCCAGAGATACGCATGATACCAGACCTCCGGATTTTTCGTTGGGTTGGGCCCTGAAAACACATCTATTTCATCTAGCCGGGCTGGCTTGATCCCATCCTTTTTAATTTGTAATTGGTTTTAATTTGTAATTGGTTTTAATTGGGTTGTTTTAAATTGATGGCCAAAGTTATTTAATGTTTTTTAAACTGTTTTTAGATTTTATATGTTGTGTTTTACGGTGGCTGTTCACCGCCCTGAGTCCTGTTGGAGAAGGGCGGTATACAAATTAAAACAAACAAACAAATCAATAAATAAATATACCACTTCACAGTGCTTTACAGCCCTTTCTAAGCGGTTTACAGTGCTGTCTTTCATTTTCCAAGGTTCAAAGCACATTTTTGGAAATGCAGGATTGAGAACAAGCAACAGGGCTGATTTTTCCCACGAGAGTTTGAATGAAAGTGCCAAGGAGCTTTGGTCCGATGAAGTAACCTTGCCTTTTAATTTTTCAAGCGTGTTTATGATGGAGTCTAAATTGGGTCTATCAGAGGAAATGCTTGGAAGTCTGTGGAGGATATACGCACTGGGATTTGCTTCAGTAGGTTTATCGTTTCAATAGACCACAGCAATAATCGTCAAAGGATACAAAGTTGTACAAATTCATTTCAATCTGTCAGGCAGCCATTCGTCCTCTTTGGTTTAACTTCTCTTGAACTTTTGTTGAAAGCCGCTGTGACAAATTTTGTCACAGCATGTAGATTTGGGAAGGATTTTACTTTTATCTTCTCACCATCGACAAGAGCGTTTTTTGTTATTCAACCTTCTTCAACCTAATGCCCTCTGTTCTTTTTTTTTTGGCACACCTTTGTGAATTTTAATTAAATTGGGTCCAAAATATTTACAAGACACCAAGTTGGGGAAAGCTGACTGAACGATGCTGCCATTTTAGACAAATATATTGTCAGGCAAACGGAACTACTCGTGAATCAGCCCAAGTAAGATTGTTCATTGTTGATTATCTATGCAGATTGTCCTCAACTTATGACAATTCGTTTAGTGGCCGTTCAAATTACAACGGCACTGAAAAAATGTAACCTAGGACCGTTTTTCACAGTTACGACCTTTGTAGCATCCACACCGAGAGGGGATCAAAATTCAGACACTTGGCAACTGCTTCATACTTATGACCATTGACAAACAAAGTCAACAGGGAAGCCAGGTTCACTTAACAACTGTGTTACTAACTTATCAACTGCAATGATTCACTTAACAACTGTGGCAAGAAGTAAAATGGGGCCAAACTCACTTAACAAATGTTTCACTTAACAACAGAAACATTGGGCTCAATTGTGGTCGTAAGTTGAGGACTACCTGTATATTTGGAAGCCAGTCCTATTGTTGTGGCCTGTCCGCCGCCAGCCCCTCCAGGAGCTAAATCAGAGGAGGAGGAGGAGGAGGCGTGGGAGTCAGGGTCAGCATCAAGGCAACCTGAGAGCTCTGAGGGGGAAGAGGGAATGGAGTTGTCAGAGAGAGAGAGAGAGAGAGAGAGAGAGAGGTGGAGCCTGGGCTGTCCATCAACCCTCAGATGGAGAGTCAATAGCCCCCAGGTTTGAAGGTGGCTGATGAGGGAGGAACAGCTGGATCCAGTGCCTGATGTATGGATGTGCAGGAGAGGAGAGCAGTGGAAATCTATGGGCTGATCCTTGGGACGGAAGAGCCACCGCTGCTAGTGAAGCCCCACCCTAGCTCTGGGGATAAAAGGCAGGGGACAGAGAGGAATAGGTGTGACAGACAGCTATTCATCTTCCTGCTGTGTGTGCGTGTATGTGTGTGTGTGTGAGAGAGAGAGAGAGAGAGAGAGAGAGAGACTTTTTTGCCAGGGCTGCTGGCGCTCCTAATAAAGGAATCATTTATTTAACTACAGAGGGTTTGTCATGTTTGGGGAGCTGGGTCAGAACATCTATCAATGTTGTGACTCCGACCCCCAAGCCCGTCTTATCGGAGGGAGAAGACTCCGAAAGTGAAGGAGAGGAGTTGGCAAGGCCTCCCTCTCCAGGACCCTCCTCTCTGGCAATGCCTCAGGTGTCTTCCGAAGGCCAAGAGATAGGTTGCCCTCTCCATGGGTGTCTACCAGGGGGAGGAAGAGGAGCGGCCAAATGACCAAATAAGCATGGTCACATTGCAACACAAACGCCATCCTTTTTTAACATGCATTGGGCCAACTCATGCACATACGTGAGGCAGAGTTTGCATAGTGATGATGCCTATGATCAGAGCAACAGATCAAAAGAGCTGGAGGGTAGACCTTGGAGATCTTTGAGTCCAACCCTCTGCTCAAGTAGGAGACCTTATACCAAGTGGTCGTTCAATCTCTTCTTAGAAACCTCCAGCACCCATATCTTCTGAAGGCAAGCCGTTGCAAGCCATTCCACTGATTAATTGTTCTAACAGTCAGGAAATTTCTCCTTATTTCTACATTGGTCCTCTCCTTATTAGTTGCCATCCATTGTTTCTTGTTCCGTCTTCGGGTGCTTTGGAGAATAGGTTGACCCCCCCTTTTTTTGTTGCAGCCCCTTAGATATTGGAAGACTGCTATCATGTCACCCCTGATCCTTCTTTTCATTAAACTAGATCAGGGGTCAGCAACCTGCAGCTCTGGAGCCGTATGTGGCTCTTTCATCCCTCTGTTGTGGCTCCCTGTTGCTGGTTGGTTCCACAATTGATAAGGCTTTCGGTTAGGACAGGTAGAGGAAAAAGGACTCAGCGCTAGGAGGAGACTCTATGGTGGGGGAACCGGACTTCCGGTCAGCTCCAGAATTGAATGGGGGCTTCCGGTTAGGAACTTTGTGGCTCTTTGAGTATTTAAGGTTGCCGACCCCC